ATCTTATGCTTTATATATAAAGCACAATAGATGTATATATAAATCATCTATAGTAAAAAATAAAATAATTAAACAAAATTCAAGTAACAAATGGCCACATCTGCTCTTACATTAATGAAGTGTTTACAGTAAAACTGGGATGACTGTTGCTGCAATGCATTGTGGGACTCACTGTCTGAGCGTGTGCAGCTGTGTCGATCAGACGGGTGCAGCGCTGGCTCCTAATTGGCCGTGAGTAATGCGATCTGCATGCTCGCTGCAGTCTTAATTAAATAACGCTGCTTAATTAGCGCATGATGTATGCCTGGAACTGACGCCTCGAGCACTGACGAGTTTAAGCGGCTGAATGCTGACTACGCCCCTTCTCACAGCCCCGCCCACATCACACAACACACACTGAGCTGAGGACGAAGATCATCATCATCATCATCATCAGTCTGTTGGGCTCTAGATGCAGTAATGATGCGATTAATGATGCCGTAATGATTTGATAAAGGCGAACATGATGTCATAAAGGAGCGATGATGTCATTTATAAAAATGCTGTTTCATTCGCTATGAAATCTGTCAGACTATCAACGTTTTTATAACCTGCAGAGAGAGAATGTGAGTGTTTATGATGTTCATTTCAATCACAAGCGCATTGAGCGGCCGCCGGAGAGCTGTTCAGTGTGTGTGTGTGTGTGTGAAGGAGGAGGAAGCAGAACTGGTTGTTAGGAGTGTGTGATGTGGGGGTTTGAGCGGGTGTCATTGTGTGTGTGTGTGTGTGTGTCGCAGAGAATAAAAGAATATCAATGAGAAAGATGAGAGGCAACAGATGCTGAGAGAGATTTTCTTTGTTTATGCATATATTCACACACACACACACACTCACACATACACACTCACACACACACACACACACACACACATAAAAGCATGAAATATAGATGCGTTAATAAATCATCTATAATAAAAATTAAAGTTTATGTAATTATATAAAGTATATGTATTTATAGTATATACAGTATTTATGTATTTTTTGCATACATAATATTTAAATAAAGTTACATATATAATTTTCATAAGCTTACACACACATGCATACACAAGATATAGATAAATGAATAAATAATATATAATAAAAATGAATTTGTTTCACCAGTATTGACAAAACCTTTACATATTCGTTACAGTTTGTCATATTTCACCCCAAATGAAAGAGAAAATAAATTATATTTAGCACAAGTGCAATCATTAAGACTCAGTCTCACCTCCAAATCTCATTACCATAATGTGAAAAATGAAAAAGTAATGACAAACGTTACATTTAATTTATACTTTATTAAAATAATAAAGCCGAAGAACAATTATATGCATGTGGAAGCACTTGTTGTACTGAACTGAATTTCTGCTGATTTGAGAGAAAAAAAAAAGAATGACTGACAGAATGATTTTCACTACAGTACTACAAAGATGAGAATATAAAAAGAATGACAAAACAATGGGTCACAATGAAAACAATTTCATTAATTGTTAAATATAACCCAGCGCTGGGTTAAAAAGGGACAAACCCAGCTATTGGGTTGTTTTGACCCAGCGGTTGGGATCAAAACAACCCAATAGCTGGGTTTGTCCCTTTTTAACCAAGCATTTTTTAGAGTGTAATATTCACCACTGTTATTAAAAATAGAATTTCACTCAACCACGATCACAATAACCGTAGCAACTGCAGCAGTTACCATAAAGCACTGAAGGACAGATGCTGTACGTAAACGTCTCAAGACACTACAGATCGTTTTCTAGCATTAATCTGACGTTTATCCTGAGAGTAAATCAGAGAGCGACAGTGAGAACATAATGACACGAGCATCAGATCTACCAGCACTGTATGTGTGTCAGGCTCAACGAGAGGCAGCTCGCCTCTCCTCACAGGTGTACACTATCATTTCTCCTGACAGAGCCGAAAACAGCAGACACACGCTGTCAGACAGACACGAGCTCGTGTGCTGTACAACAGCGCCACCTATACACAAACATCATTAACCCTATGCTGTCGCACTCAATCTCCTCGTGTCTTCTGTCTCTGATTGATAGCTTAGAGTTTTTTATCCAGTCAAAGCTCTTTTAGTGTAATTGTACAAACGTCCAGCTTCAGCTGCTGCTTCTCGTATCTTTCTGCTGTTAAATCTCTATAACATCTCACGTTTATTTCTTCAGCTCTCAATCACTGCATTATATGTTTGGATCATTTCAATCTCATTGTACTGAGACATATTACTGGAGATATAGAGTGATGACTGATATTTATAGCATTTAATGTCAGTATGTGCTGTAGTGTTACAAAGATCTCACTGATTTACATCACAAGCATCAGAATTTAATCTGACTTTCTGACCATAAATATCATTATCTGCACCATATTTTTAATCGGTTTGAGTCTCTGAATAAAACTGAGTTGATTTTCCTTCATATTCTAACAATAAATAAATAGGTTTAGAGATTTTCTGAAGCTACATTTTACTTAATATTTTTAATAATGTAAAATAAAAATAAATATATAAATAATAAATATACATAGATGCATACATATACATATACAAACAATATACACACAATGTAAATCAATCAGGCTTTATAGGGTTAAAATGACGCCGAATTACAAAACTATTAAATTTGATATTTCATATTATATACGTACATATACATGCAAACCTGAACACATTTATCCATCTGAGAGCGTGAGCTAGAGTATGGCCTACAATGCAATAACCTTAACTTGACCTTCCTTTTCTTGTGTGATGATTATAAGCTGTACTTGCTTGCTTATTTATTTATTTATTTATTGTCTCCTTCTTGATTTTTATTTGGTCAGGTTTCCAAAAGCAAAAAGATATATATTTTAAATATTGAATTAAAAGTGCAAATATATACAACTTTTATATATTTATATAAATATATATATATATATATATATATACATACATTCATATACATATACATACAGATACAAACAATATATACACATATTGTAAGTAAATTGTGAGTTGAGTCTGAGCAGTACTTGTATGACAATCAAATGTTCCAGATCAGTAACTTGTGAAGTTCTACTCTAGTTATAATGCTGCCTCAGAAAACAGCTGCCTATGTAGGTAGTAGACAGCAAGGCAGCTCACTAGGTTTTGGAAGAGAGAGCATCTGTTTAGACATTTAGTGTCTGTTCTGTGAAGGTTGGCAGATTTAGAACTCTGCTCATGAAAACCCAGATTATGCAGTTTTGGATGAAATCTTTTATTATCTGTTTAGAAGATATTGCTAAAAGTTGCTCGAAGACATTTCAAGTCACTTCAACCTCAGTCATTATTACAGCAGCGATGGATAGGTCTGAAAATATTGCCCATCTGCACTCTTCATATCTTTGTTCATCAAAGTTGTGATGATTTAATAAATCAACAAAGGTTTCTCGCACTCACAAATGTATCAAACTAGTCTTTGATCAGTCCAACCTGCGCTCACAAACATTCGTTCTGATGGTGTTTTATGGTCAGGAACAATCGGCAGGACTGCCATGCTCACCGCTGACCGCGTTTAACCTTGAGAAGACGTATGGCGACACGATCGCTCAACATTCAATCTCACTGAAAAATGGTGCAGCCATTCTCCAAACAGTGGAGTGTAATGTGAAAGCATCGGCTGTGTGCAGAGCTCAACATTAGATGGCGAATCGAACCGTAAGTGAGGCATCCATCTTATCGCGGAAAATTGAAGCGGCGCCACGTTTTCAAACAGCCCACGGTTGACTGTCTGCACATGAGCTGATCTGAGATCATACGTCCTCAGATAATGTAAAGCAGATTCTCGGGTCAGTGCTTAAACGCACTTAAAGCTTATAGGATTCATGCACGGCTGGTCAAATCAATCCCTCAGGAGAGAACAGAGAGCCATTCTTGTGCAGAATTGCAGTGCAATGACATTTTTGAGTAAAATCATACAAAAATGATAAATATCTCTCTGTTGCATTTCTGCACGGAACAACAAACAGAACAATCAATGCAGTCTGATTCAGTAATGATTCTTTAAGCTGGTTCTTTTTTATCAATCTATTTCAAAAGCCCCTACAGTTATGTAGCCTGTTTTACAAATGAATACATCTCATGGGCTGCTTCGTTTAACTGAATCGCTCAAAAAGAGTCATAAATCAGACCCAAACACACTCAAAAGATCTGAATCCCTGAGTCATCTGTTTAAATCAATCAGCAGTACTGGATACTACTAAACCATACAATGACAATAAATAAACATCTTTCTGTTGCATTTCTGCACTCAACAACAAACATGACGAACGATCAATGCTGTCTGATTCAGTAATGATTCTTTTAGCTGGTTCTTTATTATGAATCTTTCAAAAATACTCACAAATCAATCTTGAACTCTAAGGTTATTATGTAGTCTGATTTATGAACAAATGCATCTCATGAGCTGGTTTGATCAAAAAGAATCATAAATCAGACGCACTCAAAAGATTTGATTCCCTGAGTCATCCATTCGAATCAATCAGTTTACTGAACCATACAACTGCATTAAATGATCTTCTTTCTGTTGCATTTCTGCACACAACAAACATACAGAACGATCAGTGTAGTCTGATTCAGTAAAGATTCTTTTAGTTGGTTCTTTTTAATGAATCACCCAAAAAAAAAAAAACTCACAAATCAGTTGTTATGTAAGATGAATTATGAACAAATACATCTCATGAGTTGGTTCGTTCAACTGAATCACTCAAAAAGCATCATGATTCAGCCCCAAACACACTCAAAGATTTGAACCACCAGTCATCCATTTGAATCAATCAGCGGTTCTGGACTCATTTACTATCATCTAATAGTTACGACCAATTACTGGGACTTTCTAAAAAGAATTAAAGAATCATTAATGGAATTAAAGAGCCAGAAATCGTTAAAAAGCTGGGAGGAGGAAATGACGGAACAATTTTTTTCTAATTAAAGACAAGATATCTCTTACCTCATCCGTCCACTCATGAGCAGAATGAGGTTATAGATGTGAGAGAAGATGAAGAGCGAGAGAATCGTGCTGAAAAACATGGTCATCCAAGAGCCGTGGTCCTCACGAAACATCTTCAGACGCAGGAGACGACCTGAGACGGCAAAGAGAAACCACATTTAACATTTAAAGCAATAAGAGTAGTGCATGTGTCGCGATGCTTGACACATAAGAGCATGATGATGTGTATGCGATAAGAGACACTTATACCACTACATTTTAATATACTTATACATTATTATGTTTTTGAATGAGCTTTTATTTCTATAATTTCAGTTTTTATTTTTAGAAATTGCTATGCACTTTTTGAATTTTTATTAGTTTTTGTTCTTTTAAAATATTACTATTTAAGCTTAATTTATTTTTAATTTAGTTCAGTTTTTTTTTAAGTTAGTGCTTCAACCATGGCAAATTTCTTTCTTTCTTTTTTAATTAAAGTTTTATAAACTTCAACACATTACAACACAAAAACAATCATACATTGCCCAAAACATTGTAAAGGCAGGAAAAATGCATACTTTATAACAACAGCATCATGTATTGACAACACAAAATAAATAAATATACACTGAAAATAATGATACTAAATTTTTTTAAGGTAAGTGGTTGCAAAAAAATTATTTTAGCTACATTAAAAAAAATGTTGAAAGTTAGTCAACTAAATTTGTTTATTTAAATGTAGCTAAAATAAATTGATTGCAAACACTTAGTAAATTCAATGAATCAGGGCTGCACGATAAAAGTTAAACTAATAATCAAGATTATTTTGCCCAAAAATTCTAATCATGTTTATTAATCACTATGATTGAATATATCTTATAGAATTAGTGCACTTTGACAACAAATTAAGAAAACATCAACCAGGGTTAAAATTAAAATTAAAATTATTAAAAAATATTTTTGTTTAAAATAAAATAAATATTTATTTATTCAATCAAAAAACAGTTCTCATTTTAATTCTGTTTGACTTGATGCACTAAAAGCTGGAATAAATAAATAAATACACAACACTGACTTTTCCTCTCAAAAAGCTAACACAGTGAAATACCTCATATTAACTAGACGAATTCACAAATTATGTTAATGTTTTTTTCTATTAAAACAACAAAAACGTGCATGTATTCATACAACACAGTCGAGATTCATGTTTGGATATAAATAAAAACAATGAACCTACAGAAAATAGAAGAATACAGAGAAAGAAGGGCCAACTGAAATCAAATTTTCATTACGTTTTTCATCAAATATTTATATATTATGTTAGCTTCATGCCTTTTACCAAAAACGTTTCTGAAATATCTCTTTGGTTTTGAGACTTTAGTGTTTGCAACTTTACAGATCTTCTTTATGCACCAAGAGCTTGTAACACTCCAAAGAGAAAGGAAAAATTGAAATCGCATCATATGACCCCTTTAACAACAGTAACCCCGCGGAAACACATTTTCTGTTCGTATCGGCACGACCTTCACTGATCCAGACATGGTAATTAGCACCTGAAAAGCTCCATACAACTAATCATCTCTGCAACCTGTAATTTCTGCTGATTGAACCGTCTGTCCACACGTCGAGCGCCAGGTTTTGCCTCACAGACCCAATGAACCTTTCGTATTTTCCTCAACAGCAATCGATCCTCAGAACTGCTGTTTTGGTTTCATGAAGAGGCCTACATCATTACAGCGGCGTTATTCATGACCTGCGAGGACATTTCCATTATTTTCCTTCACCTGAAGGATCAAATGACAGTAGGGAACATCTTTCTTTGTCTCTGGCTCTCTTTCAGAGCGTGAGATTGATTCAGATGTCGGGGAAGCCGCCCTGAATGCTTAATCGCGCCCTTCAGCGTCTGTCACGGAGGTGATCTCGGTCCTGCGAGTGCAGAGGAAGGTTTCACGGCTTTCCAGTGTCTGTTTAAAGTGATTAAAGACGACTAAAGTTAAAGACGGTGTCAGTAGCACTTACACGGACCGAGTCTGATCATTACACACGCGTGGAGCATTTTAACTACGCTAAAGGCCTTCCTTCACTCTAAAAAATGCAGTGTTAAAAAGGGACAAACAACCCAATAGCTGGGTCAAAACAACCCAACCGCTGGGTCAAAACAACCCAACCGCTGGGTCAAAACAACCCAATAGCTGGGTCACAACAACCCAACCGCTGGGTCAAAACAACCCAACAGCTGAGTCAAAACAACCCAAATAGCTGGGTTTGTCTCTTTTTAACCCAGCATTTTTTAGAGTGTTTCTGAAACATATAGTCAGCTGCCTTGGTGTGTAAACCCTACATAGGGAGCATCTTAACTGAGATTTGGAGCACCCTACATAGGGAGCATCTTAACTGAGATTTGGAGCACCCTACATAGGGAGCATCTTAATTGAGATTTGGAGCACCCTACATAGGGAACATCTTAACTGAGATTTGGAGAACACTACATAGGCAGCAACTCAGTGGAGATTTGATTCTTACTCAGTATATCCGTCTTGTTTTCCAGCACAAATATCTAAGCGTTCATAAATCAGGATACATTTACTGGAGAAGCACAATTACATCAGATATTTTTCTCAAAATTAAATCAATTTGGGATTGAAACAAAAAAAACATATCTGCCAATGGGATCAGAAAAATAAAACAGTTTTTCCATTGTATTAATGTTATTTTTTTCTGACCCAACTGAAAGAGATTTTTTCTTGTTTAAAAGTATAAGCTCACTTAATGTTTCTTAGTATTTATGTCATGTTCCTCAATGAAATATCAGAATATTCTTTAAGTATTTTGTAATCAATATCAAAAGTGTCCCAATTTGTCCAATCGAAACAAGCTTTCAGTTGTTGTATATTTTTAAGGAGACAAATTACTATAACATAAAATATCAAAATTAAGTGATTTTTTTAAGGACTAATATCTCCAAATGGGATTAGAAAAACTCAAATTCAATTGATTTTTCAATTGATTTTTCTGACTCCACTGGAAGTAAACACCCACTACATTTTTTCTCAGTATTTTTGTCTTGCATTCCAGTAAAACACCTAAACATACTGAAATCAGATTTACTTGAGAAGCAAAATTACATAAGGTATAAAATTGTGTTTTTTTAAATTAAGTAACTTTATGCTTAAATCAAGAACAAATATCTGCAAATGGGGTCAAAAAATTTACTTGTTTTCCTGAATTAAGTTTCATTTTCTGACCCCATTGGTAGATATTTGTTCTTGTTTTAAGTATAAACTCACATTATTTATTTATTCATTAGTATTTTTGTCTTGTTTTTCATTAAAATATTTAAAAATCCTTAAATCAAGATACATTTATTTGAGAGGCAAAATGACTTAAGATATAAACTCTTGTTTTCTAAACAATAATAATAATAATAATAATAATAATAATGTTTTCCCATTGAAGAAAGTTTATTTTTTCATCCCCATTGACAGACATTTGTTCTTGTCTTAAGCAAAAACTTACTTGTTTTATGAAAAAATGCATCAAAAATAAGACTTAATATCTTACATTTCCAGAATATGTATCTTGATTTAAGAATGTTCAGATATTTGTACAGAAAAAACAACAAAAACAATAAGTAATTTTGCAGCATTATATACAGTATAAGCATATTGAGGTGATAACAACACAATACTTTAATAAACATAAAAAGATACACAAATAAGAAACGTTTATTATTGAAATCCATCATCTTATTGCAATGCATTCTGGGATGATCTTCTTTGCAATTTCAATACATGCCTTTTGTTTTTCTTCCCTGTGAAAGTTACAGTATGTTTCGTAATACACTGAACCGGATGAGATCAAGGACATTTTGATTCCTTAATCATTCACGACCCATAATCTTCACATCTGCGTTCCCATTTCTGTGCTCTCCATCAGAAATGAAATTTGCCCTTTTGGATGCTTCAATCTTTTCAGGAAAGATTCAGTTTGTTCAGTTATCAGTGAATCATCAAGAAAACTCTCTCAAAGTGAATTATTTATTCGCAAAGCTTTCTGAAAGTTGCATCACGTCTCGGCCAGACAGAAAAATCTCATTTGGAGTCAGTAAAAAAGTAGTTCTGCTAAATGAAAATATCCAAGTCTCTCTCACACACACACACACACACACACACACACACACTGAGAGAGAGAGAGAGAGAGTTTTAGCACCTCACAGTTTGTTTTTCTAGCACTAGTGTGTTTGTTTAGCAGCTGACGGTTAATTTTTCAGCCTCTTTACAGCTTGTGAGCTTCTTTCCCAGATACTGACATTCTCCTGTCAGCGATCCGGCGCCGAGCGATTCATCTCTCCATTAGATCCGCGCTCGGGGCCACAGACCGGCCAACCTGAATCAGCAGTAATATATTACGCATATTGTGGCAAAGAGAGGAAGTGTCCTGCTCATTAGAGCTGAACATTTCCATCTGTCCCGCTAACCCTGTCAAACTCACTTTAACTAACAGCGGCCCCAAGAACAAGTCGCCGTAATTATTCCTTTAGCAGCTTCCTCTAATTACCAATGAATGTTACCATAGTAATTCCTGGATGAGACAGCCTTGGCATTTACATTAGCATGCACACATGCATACATTCAATGCTTGGCGTATTTTTATCTTGTTTTCCAGCACAAACATCTAAACACTGCAATAAGCTGCACAAAAAAAAAAAAAAAAAAAAAAAAAAAAAAAAAAAAAAAAAAAAACAAAAAAAAAAAAAATTGCTGTCAGTCGGGATTGAAAAGCTACATGACATTCTGCATGCAACCTGCCAATAAAGGCCAGAAAGTATGCAAATAAATTGAAAACTGCCAAAAAAACATATTTGTAATAAGTACTGTTGTGTTGTTTTTTATTAAAATATCTAAATATTCAAGACAAGACAAATTTCCTTGAGAAGCAACACTGCATACGATCCCAACTAGTTTTTATTATAAACACATTACAAAAAAACAACAACAAAAAATAAATCAGTGCCAGTGCAGTAAGACAAAATACTCTCATTTTAAAATCTTATTGCTGCTTCTCAAGTCAATTTATCTCGTTTTTTAGACATTTTTACTGGAAAGCATATAGAAACAAAAAATTAAAAACTCATTAAGGAGCAATTTGCATATG